GAAAATCGATTTTAATTTCATGAAAATATGAAGTAAAGGGGAGAGGTTGTCATTCATCCTCGAGGAGAATCCATGCACCATTGATTGGACATCAGTTGGTTTTGGAGAGTTTCAAAAACTTTCCGAGAAGTTATCAACATAATCAGAAGTGTACCAGGAAAAAATGGAGTGGAAGCAGTCAGTATAAGTTAAAAAATGCAACGTTAAGCCAGATCAGAAGCCAAAAGCAAAAGTAACGCAGGAAACGAACGCAATTCGGAGAAAGGATAGTGATTTGGAAGCAATTAGAGTGAATTCTAACTTCACGATTTCTACGGCTTATGCAGTCTACTACAATAAACACAAATTCAAAAAAAACAAAGTTAAAAAAAAAGTACAACAAAAACATCAAGTAAAACTTAAGTTGTTTTACGTGGCTAATTAAAATCCCATCTGAGTATCTGTTAAAAAGATCTGCACGAGTTTGTTAGCAAAAAAACCTGCTGTTCCAAAACTGAAGGAAATGCTTTTTGATAAGATGGAAAACCATTCCTAAATCAGTGTTATCTGATAACACGTACTGCGACCAGTAGGTTGTTAAAGGCGATATAAAATGAAGGCGACTAGGAACTGCAAAGTTTTCGAATCAGGGATGTCGAATGTGTTTATGAGACAAAAAAAATCAGATGAAAACTGATTACCAAGCCTGAAGTAGGAAATTTTGCGAGTTTTAGATTATTTAGATGGTGTTAAAATTCTTTGAAAAAAAAGACACTGAAATTTTGAATATTGCGGCAAGATTAGTGTGTTCCATCCAAGGTGAAAACAAAATCCGGATGGAAAACAAGGTTCTCTATATAAGAACGACGCAAAAAAATAAGATAACTCACAGTCGAAGGTTCATAACAATTTTTTTGAACTAATGGTTTTCCTCAAACTAAAAAACAAGTGATTTTTTTTCTTTTGACAAATCATTAACCAGTTGACTACAATTTTAGACCAAGATAAAATTTTTATACGCTCAATTATTGAGTTTCGTTAGCGAAACTTTTCATGAGTTTCTGTTGGGTTTGTGAGAGCATTTTGTTTTGGTTTCATCTGTGTTTCAATTTTTGTCATTTATGTTTCTTAGGTGTATTGAAAGTTTTCCGAAATTCCTCATTTTAGCAATTTTGTTTGTGCTGTAGTAACTGTACTTTTAGTTTTATCATCTTTTTTTTTGTTCCCCAAACAAGCTAACACGATTGTTTAAAACAATTAGACAACTTTGTTATTACTCAAAAAGCACTATTTGGAATTTTAAAAAAATGAGACCCAGGAAAAATCAATCTACACGTATTACACTTCGAGACCAAGATATCACAATTGCTAAAGCCTAAAAAAGTATTCTGAGTTATATAAAAACGGTTGAAAAAATTTTTCTTTGCGTGTTTTTGCAACAGTACCTCATCAAAGGTTCCACACAATATCGAACGCCACTTTGTTCATAAATAAACAGAACAAATTTGCTATGAATGCATGAATGGAATTTTATTTATTCATGAGGTTTCTAGCCTTTAAACTCGATGGCTTGCAAAAAAAATTGCAGTTATTTCAGTTGATCAAGTTTTTTTAAGTCAGATGAGTTTTGCTCCTTCCAAGTAATTGGGTCAAGTTTTTCAAAGAAAATTTTTCTAGCTTTGTTAATAAAACCCATTTGCAAAAGTATTTCAATCTACAAAAATCAAGAATGAAGTTGGTTTTTGACATTTCCAAATTAATGTGAACTTCCTGCTTCATTGATAGTTTAAGATACAATGGATGAGGTGAAAAGTTTGATCGAAATCTGGTTCTGCATGGCTAAATCAGACACAAACTTTTTCTCCTTCTTTCAAAAAATGTCACTAGGTTATTCAGTTTTTCGATTCACTGTTCCGTACTTTTCAACTTTTCTGACCATTATTATCGATCAATTTTGAAATAAATCTAATAGACTGTTATCCATTTTGGCTGTTTTCTATAATTTATCAGGAAAAAGTTTTTCGAACATTTTTTTCTTCCATCATATTTCCTTGTTTTTGTTCCTGAATCTAGCCACAGAACTGGCAATGCAATTAAATTTTGTGATGATTTAAATGCTGCTTTTCTGTTTTAACTGTCCTGCTAACTCTTATGGTCGTTTGACATTTCAGTTACAATTTTACTGGTATAAATTGATTCAAGTTTTAAACACAAGTGTTTTGGACTTTCTAAAAACTTATTGTTGCTTTTTTTCAATGTTATCAAACTTGTTGGTCAGCGTATCTCAGTTTGTTTCAATCATTTCAGGGTAATTTTTAGTTTTTTCGATTTTCAGCAAATTTTTGTTTTTTTTTCTGTCTTCGTTCTGACAGATTTTCTCATTTGTCTTCTCAAGTGTTACTTCACGAAAAAAGGGCAAATTGACTCAGAATTCTTTTGAGAGGTTTTGTTGATTTACTATTTTCACGCAATGTTTTGTTGTCGAGGACTGCGCAGCACAATAAAAATGCTAAGTGTCAGCAAATAACACACATAATGGCTTTGAAGAATTGGGGCTACTGTAAAGTGTGGTGAATAAAATTCAAATTTTTTTTCCAATCTTTGCTGATCAAGTTTGTTTTATATTTTTATATTTTTTCCAATCTTTGCTGATCAAGTTTGTCAATCTTTATTAACAAACTCTTAAACACTGTGTAAATTAAATCAGTCCATTCAAATATATCTTTCCTTCCACCTCTTTTTTTCCTAATGAGGTTTTTTCATTCACCTACAGAGAAAATGGCTTGTAATCAGATCTGCTTATCTTGTTTGGCTATTCATCCCTTATTTTTTGACATTAAATGTTTTTTCTGCAACATAGAGTTATCCAAATCTATTTGATTACTTTCTCTATTTTTAAGCGGGGGCACAATTATCCATCGATACAAGTGAGGACAAGTTATGTGTATTTAATAAATCAAAATTTTTGCATTGAAGAAATTAATTCCTCTGCGTTTATTAGGGGGAAAAATTATCCATCGATATGAGCAAAGACAAGCATTGTGTAATCAATTTAACAAAAAGTGAGCATCGATAATATTAGATTCTACGTTTTTATGCGGGAGGGATGCAATTATTTTTCGTTATGAGAGAGGAAACGCATTGTGTATTTAATATTTGAAAAAGTTTGCATTGAAGATGTTGAAGTCTCTGTTTTCATGTGCGGGCACAATTATCAATCACTATTAGTGAGGACAAAGTTTGTGTTTTTAATTCATCAAAAAATTTGCTTTGAAGAAATTGATATCTCTGTTTTTTTGAGGGGGGATAGTTATCCAGCGATATAAATGAAGACAATTTTTGTGTATTTAATAAATCGAAAAATTTGCATTGAACAATTTAATTTATATGCTTTTATGAGGGGGAAAAATTATCCAGTGATATGAGTGAGGACAAACTCTGTGAAATAAAAACATGAAAAAAATTGCATTGATAAGATCTTTAAGGCACAATTTTTGTTGTAAAAACTACACAAAACTTCTACTGACTCACATCGATGGATAAAAGTCCTCCTCATAAAAGCAGAGAAATTAACTTTTTCAAGCAAAATTTTAATATTTGAAATACACAAAACTTATCCTCACTTAAATCGATGGATAATTATTCCCCCGCATAAAAACAGAGAAATATATATCTGTAGTGAAAAAGTTTTTGATATTTTATTTCCATAATACTTGTCCTCAAATATATGATGAATAAATGTGCCCCGCATAAAAACATAGAATTTAATATTTTCAATGCACATTTTTTGTTATGTTGATTACACAATGCACGTCCTCTCTCGTAAATCGTTGCTTGGGACTAATACGAAATCAGACGAATTTATAAGATCAGCAGACGGCTCATAAAAGAACTGGACAACATAATACAAATGCAGAGGTCCTCCATTACCCATTTACTTACTCAAATATCTTACATCAATTCTTCGTTCATGCAAAGTGGGCATATGGATTATTTTAAAAATTGGTGCTTTTTTGGCCTAGTAGGTGGTTTATTGAGGTTTAATTGACTGTCGTTTTTTGATAGTTTTGGAAGATATAATCAAGTGCTGATAAATTGGAACATATAACCCATATTCGTTTTTGAATTTTTTGTAGCTTTCTGCAAAAGTCGAACGAACATGTTGATCCAGGATAGGATTTATGGGGGTTGGCCTCCATCCATCAGCGATTCGACGCACTCACCAACAAAAAGATCCGCTCTTTGGTTTTGCTTTACGACATCACTTTTTGAGACGACCACGTATTCTTCAGGTCCAGTTTTTTATCCAAAGCATTTTCGAAAGTAATCTTAAGAGGTTGCTTTTCAAACAAACCCAGAGAGCTATGTGTACAAATCAGTAATCCTTTTTTTTGAGAATAAGTCCGCTGTTTTACTCAATGAACTGCTTTTTATTCGAATGGTTGAGTTGATATGTTTCAAATCTATTCCTAGTCCTAGATTCCTAACCAAATCAAGATAAAGACCTAGATTATCAACACGTAAACGTGAGAAAATCAAACTGTTCAGAATTGAGAAAAATGATTTTCTGTATTCGTTTCACAAATTTTGTTAAAGTCAATAGTTGCACGGTTACAGTTGCCCGCATGGTTACAGTTTGCCCGGCTAGAGTGCCTTGTAGAGATAGGTCCCAACATTTCCCGGCCTCCTTGAACGGGTTCAAAAAAACGTCTACAAGAAATCATTGAGTGAGGTCCTGAATGAAGAGAGTTCTGCAGTCGGTCAGTTTCTGTCGGAATGCAACAGTACAAAACTGTTGACTGGTCGATTGTAGAGTCCTGTTCGGGTTCTGATTTGTGCAACCCGGATGATGTTGTCATTTCTATCAAAGACTTTGTGATACGACCCGTTGGCCGCATCAAAGGCGGGATGTTGTCCTCTTTGACAATAACAAGGTCTCCAATGGCGAATTGTCGTGATCGCGATGTCGTCCATTTAGCTTTTTGCCGCAGAGAAGTCAAGTATTCTTCTTTCCAACGTTTTCAAAATTGTCGAACTATGTTGTCAATGGTTTTGATTTGTCGACTGAGCGATGTCTTCTTGTCGCGCGTAGAACACAACATTGCTGTCAATGGTCTTCCGATGAGAAAATGTCCTGGTGTTAAAGCGAGTGCATCATTGACATCATTAGATGGCGTAACAAGTGGCCTTGAATTGAGGATGGCCTCATTTTGTGTGAGAACTTTGAGGAACTGATGAAGTTTTAATTGCGTTTTCCCAACTGTTCGGAATAAATGTCGTTTCAATGATTTCACTGCCGCTTCCCATAATCCTCCGAAGTGTGGCGCTTTCGGTGGAATAGTGTACCATGAAACTGAGTGGTCGTTGGCAAATTTGCTGAGGAATTCTTTAAATTCTTTGTTCATCATCAATTTTTGGAATTCAATTTCACTTCGAGAGCCAATAAAAGTCATCGAATTGTCACTGTAGAAAGCCTTTGGTAATCCTCTTCTGGCGCAAAATCGTTTTACAGCATCTAAGCAATCGTCCTTTGTGAGAGAGTTGACGGTTTCCATGTGAACTGCTTTAGTCGCAAAGCAAATGAAGATAGCCACATATATTTTACTTCCTTGACTGCTGCTGTCTTTGATGTAGAAAGGTCCACAATAATAGTGTCCTGTTTTGCTCAAAGTAAAAGATTCTACCACTCTTTCGAGCGGCAAATCTCGCATTTCTGGCTGGAGAAGTCTGCGTCCTGTCGAATGCACGGCTTGCATTTATGAATTGCTTGTTTGGCCAAAGCGAGGCCTCCTGGTTTTCATATTGTTTGTCGAAGGGTGTAGAGTGACATCTGAGGACCGCTATGAAAAAATTTTCATGCGCTTTCCTAATGAGCAATTTGTTAATTGGTGATTTCCTGGGAATGAGCACCGGAAACTTTTTTGTTGATGTCATATGGTGATTTTGCGAGGCGTCCTCCAACACAAATTACGTTGCTCTCATTGTCGAAGCAGGGTGAAAGGCTCAGAAGGTTGCTGTTCCTTGGATATCGTTTCCCTTGCCTGATAAGTTGAAACTCAGCTAGATGATGCTGCTGAACCAAGCTGTACAAAGTCGTGCGAGCTTCCGTAACCTCCAAGACTGTCATGAGTCGTCAGTTTGCTGACGTTATTTTTGCTTCCTGAGTTACTGATCGATGGAATTGTTGCCTTCGCGCGGTTAGCGATTGATGCGAAACCTGCAGTCCAGTTTCCCCAAAGCATCATCTATCCCATCCCGTTCCTTTACCTCCAATTTCCCTACCGGCACCTTTACCAGAATGATAATCAGTGGCACTAACAGAATTCGCGTTTGTATCCAAATCAGTACCCGCACCTGTTCTATCATCGGGTCTTGTCCCTGTACCCTTACTAGCATCCAGTATTAATGCGTTACCACTATTCAGACTTTTACCTTTACCAATATCAACCATTGCACAAATACCTGCCCCTGTACAAATACTTTTCTGGGTTTCCTCAGTTTCCTTATAATTTTTCATTGAGTTTTTGCGATTACACTTAATACCAAAACCTACTCCCGTACCAACACTTGTTTTTTTACCATAACTTTCCCGCTCTTCATTTTTTTTCCTCTCCATGTACCTAACCTCCCAACACCATCCCGGTAACTAAACGTCTGCAATCTTACGTTTTTACCATTACCAAACCTGGTATCAATTTTGTTTTCCCTTGAGTTTTACCATTATTCTCAGTACCAAAACCTATCCCTGTACCGACATCTGTTTTTGTATCATAACTTTCCCCGGCATCGTCGCTTTCTTCTGTCCCCAAACGTAACCTTCTTTCAATGCCATGTGGAGTCCGAATACCTCATGTAGCAGTTGGTGCATGTGCTACGTTTTGAACTGCCTTTTGAACTATGTTATGACCTCTGTAGTTTTTAACAAATCTCTTGACGTAGCCTAAAATCCAGACAATCTTTGAAAGCCCTGAAAACCTGGTCAAAAGATCTAAGACTCTGTTCTCTTTTTCCACTGTCACCATTGTAACAGATCCGCTGTCTTCAATTGTTCTGGTTTCTTGTTGTGTCGTCTCCGCAGGGATTAATTCTGCTCTCGCCCAGTTGTCTGTTGACTGTGAGAGCCATGTTGGTCTGTTCCACCAAAATTCATGTTTTGCTAGAGCTGATAATGGAATTCCCCGAGAAACACAATCAGCTAGGTTGTCTTTCGTCGGCACAAAATTCCATTTTTCGGCTGGTAGAATTTGTTGATTTTTTGCTACTCAATTAACAACGAAAGTCTACCAATTGCGAGGAAATTCTCGTAACCACGCAATAGTAACTTGAGAGTCGGTCCATGCGAAAACAGTTTAAATGATAAACCGTTTGTCACTGATGTTGGCTAGAGTTGCTTCCACTAGTTTCGAGCCACGAAGTGCTGCACAAAGTTCCATGCGTAGGACACAAATGCATTCAATAGGCGCAACTCGTATTTTTGCAGTCAATATTTTGACGAGTGTGGTACCTTCGCTGGTTTCTTGTCGCATATACACGACAGCTGCATGTGCTGTAGTTGACGCGTCACAGAAAACATGAAGTTGAAGGTCTTTGTTTGTCTGCGCTAGAAGAACTCGGCGAGACAACTTGTTGTCTTCCAGTTCCTTAAGCTGCTGTCAAAGGCGTCCATAGTGTTCCTGTAGTGTGACTGATATCGTTCGATCCCACGAAATCTTGTCCATCCACATGAGTTGTATGAATGATTTCAGTTGAATAGTCGTAGGCGAAAGCCATCCAGGGGGGTCATAGAGTCTCGTGACTTCTGAGAGTTTTTGTCGTTTGGTCACGGGAATCTAATCGCTTAATTTAAATGCTACACTAAAAAGATCTGGCCTTGGGTTTCATTCGATTCCAAGTGTTTTGATGACATACTTGTCCCTTTTGTTTTCATTTGGTCTGCTGCTTCTCGATATTGCACTGGGAGTCATTCTACTAGCTTAGTGTCGTTTGATGTCAATTTGCAAATTTCAAATCCAGTTTAACCGAGTATTTTGATGAACCCATCCTGTAGTTGAATAGCTGATTCAGTATCTGAGAATCCTGATAGAAGGTCGTCTACGTACATGTCGTTGAGTGTTGCTATCCTAAATGAGTCGTCGTCACTTACTTCAGCAAGCACTTGAAGAGGTCTTATCGAATGAAAGGCTGAAGAAGCAATTCTGTACGTAACTCTGGTCATTCGGTAGTGCCAAACCTCTGTCGAAATTTGATATTTCCACAACATTTGATGATAGTCTCTATCTTCTTCTTCCAACTCCACCTGGCGGTACATTTTCGAAATGTCGGTTGAAAGTGCTACCTGATGCATTCGGAATCAAATTAGAATGCTGAAGAGGTCTTTCTGAACGGCAGGTCCACCCATCAGTTTGTTGTTGAGTGATATTCCAGATGTCGTCTTTGCTGATGCTCCTAAAACCACTCGAAGTTTTGTTGTCGTGCTTGAATCCTTGAAAACGCAATGGTGTTGCATGTAGAAACCGTTGTAGTGCAGTCGTACCAACTCGTTGTCTGGAATTTCCTCCATATGGCTTAGGTTAAAAACCTCGTTGATGAAGTTATTGTACTTCTTGTAGAGCTCAGTGTTCCGTTCCAAACGAAACAGTAACCTACGTAGTCGTCTGCGAGCCTGCCAAAGTGTGACTCCAAGTAGTCCAACTTCTTCTTAGTATGACAATTTTACCACAAATCGTCCATCTGGCCTGCGTTTAGTTGTTAATTTGAAGTGTTCCTCACATTTAAGCTACCCTCGTGTCCACAATTTTTTTTCTGGAACTTCCTCAATTTACCAAAATTGTTGAAAAATTGTGTTGCTTTCGTCGCTGACAAGAAATGTCTGTTGTAGTGATGCAAGTACGTTTTCGCTGTTTTGTTGTCCAATTAAAAGCCAGCTAAAAACTGAGAGTCGATAATAAATTGAACCTGTCTGTTCCTTGATTCTATTGTTTCCAAACATCAGACCCTCGTAGTGTGCTGCTAAAATGATCATGTCAATTTCCTGTTGATCGCTGAAACCGGGATGAGCCAATTGTATTTTTTTCACTGTTGTCCAATGTTAATGTTGATTCGTCTCGAAGGCAAAGTATTGGTTAGCTTTTGAAGAATCGATGCTGTTATTGAGACTGGTTAATTGTCTGAGAACCGGATGAGTAGATGAACTTGTCCCTTGTTGTCGCAAACTTCCTCTCCTCCAACTCCGCAAATCCTTGCTGTCTGCTTCTGTCTGCGTATCTGTAAACGTTGAACAGCTGCTTCTGTTATCAGATTGTTCTGTGATGATGAATCCAATACTCCTCGAACTTGAAAAATTTTTCCGTTGATCTCGAGTGGAATGATAGCATTTTGTAGGAAAACTGCTGAGATTTTTCATGAGTTGCTGCTCCGGTAAATTTTTTGTCGTCTTTCTCAACCTTTGCTGAAGTCTGCTGTGTTCCAGTGTTTGGTTTTTCGCAAAAAAATTTTGCTCTCGATGAAGAAGAGTGTTGTGCTTCTGTCCACATTCTTTGCATCGAGACCCAGAACAATCCTCACTTCGATGTCCAGGTCGAAAACAGTTGAAGCACAACTGCTTGACTTTGATCAGTTGAGATCTGTCTTTGATTGACAGATTTTTGAAGATGTCGCATCGGTAGATCAGGTGGTTCTTTCCACAACATTCGCATTCGTCCTTGTCTGTTGTAGCTAGATTTGTCTGAAGCGTGGTGTCACGTTACTTCCTTTCCTGTCGAGCTGTTGATTACCAACCGACGTCGATCGCAAAGATGATGTTTCAAGAGCTTGGCATCTTTCTCTGAGAATTTTTCTAAGCTGATCGTATCGCTGAGGTTCCTTTCCTGGTCTAGAAATTTCCCAAGCTTTCCGTGTTTCAATGGGAGGTCGTTCCGTCAGAAGGCAACCAAAGAAATATCCTGTTGACCCACTGGTTGTCCATGGTTAAGCAAAGCGAGTCGGTGTTCCTCTGTTGTTTCTATGAGAGTTCGAAGAACTTTGGAGTTTTCGGTTGTTAACGAACGCTGCCTGAAGATTTCGTGCAAATCCGATAGCAAAATCAAACGTTTGTTGTCGTATCGGTTCTCCAGAATGTCAATGGCAATGTCAAAATTGTCGTCCGTTATCGTTATGGAATGTAGTAGTTGGTCTGCGTCTCCAGTCAGAGAAAATTTCAAGTGCTGTAGCTTTTGGCTCTTTGTCAGTCTCGTGTTGTCAATCACAGCTCTTTTGAACAAGTCGAAGAACAATTTCCATTCCAGGTATCCAACAGAGAAAACAGGCAAAATTAGTTTTGGTAAGTTCACTTTCACATCTATAGATCAAGCTCGTACGTGTAGAAACTCCTGTCGGTGTTTTGGGTTTTTGAAGAAACTGCTGAATTTGATGAACATACTGTCCATAGTTATCGTCCAAATCTTCTGCTTCCTGGATCTCATCGTCTAATGGCTGTTCATCTGTGATCAGTTCCTGTATCTTGCTATTAGAGTTTGAGAGCTAGTCCTGTTTCTTGCGGATGTTTATTTCCAGTTGCTCAAGTCTTGCTACTCCAGTTTCATCAAGAGTTCCGCAATTTTGAACGATCGTGTTTGCTTCATTGTGGTATTTGGTTACTAGGCGTTTTTTTATTTTTTTTCGTGCTCCTACTGATCTTCTTCTTCCTTATCCATTCAGTGGTGTCTTTCGTCGACGTCTACGACCACTGAGATGTTTTATTGCAGTTTTTGTGACATTG